GTTTTTTTTTTTTTTTTTTTTTGTTAACTTTTGGAATATTTCATAAATTTTTTAACTATTGCTTATTGCAAGTGCTTACCAAGTTTATTCTATGAAAAAAAATATCAAATTAACAAGGCATGTTGTGTTGACGCCTATGAAGTGTTCGACAAAAAGCTCTATAGAGAGGTACAATTTCCACGGCTGCTGGACAAACCACTCAACAGATGCAGGTCGGTATTTCTTTTACACTCTTGTATAGCTGCGGAGAAAAACGAAACCAACAGCCTTGAATAATTGTGGTCGTTCAATTATACAATGTCTCTAAATGTTCATTATATAGTTTAGTCATATGGAGTTTCGATTATAAGATTTTCAACTTCCAGTTAATTCATATTTTCTTTTGATTATACTGAATTCTTGTATATTAATATTACTATATTTGCCTATTATTATTTCATGATCTACTCTTTCATGTTCTGATTTATCAGTGACTAATGCATTTAACATATAAGCAACCTTTTAATAATCAGAAAATGACTTATTTGCAGCAATATTGCAATGCTTAGGAAATTTATCTTTTTAATTTTCTGATATTCTTGCCTTTTTATCGAAGTGTTCTTTCTCTTCCTTCAATCATGTTGTTTCTGCCTTTTTGGGGGGTTTGACATTTAAATAAAGCATAAAGATAGCTTATACAGTGATCAATTTTTATATGGGTTGGGGAATAACGGAAATGCCTATCTAACGGCTATTGGAATGGTTGAAACTATTAAAATAAAGGTGACAATTAAAGTTACCAAATCAATAGTTTCTCTTCACACCCCATTTTAACCTTAGCTTTTACTGACTATGCTTTGTGTTTACCTACCTCAATACCAATCTCTTAAGCACGTTCTATTTTTTATGATACTTACAGCTGCTGGTATTAATTATATCATGAAAGGACTACTTCCAGAAATGATTCAGGTTAAAGAGAAAGCACATAGCAAACCTGTGGTCTATCAGCTACAAAATAATGAACGCAAGCACAGTCCTATCGAACACACTGGTGAACTGATGGACTCTGATTACAATGCTTTGGAGAAAATAAAATATTGCCGGTGACATAGAGAAAAAGCGTTGTAGATGAGGAGCAATAACAGAGATGTCAACCCACTATAATTGCACACCACGATGCGGCAATATCAATCTAACTGGGACAACAAATTTGTGATGCAGTTAAAATTGAGAGAATGAAGCTTGTGAAAAGAACACTTAATGACGTGATGATATAAACTACATGCACTTACTCTTGCAAAAAATTTAGTTTCAATATTTGGCAAATTTAAATCAATAACTTGCTTTTCCTATAAATTTGGAGAGGCCTTCTTATCTTTTATCATACAGGATTTGACCATACTTGTCTTTCCCTTCTTCCTCTATTTTTAGTACTCTTCTTTTTTTTAAAAAAAAAATCACCAAAGAGAAGTTGTTTCTCTCATTCTCAAGGTAAATCTTATCTTTGTGATTTTGGAACATAGTTATTCTCTTTCATATTTAGTTTGTTTTCTCTACCTTCTACCTGCAAGATGAAGGTATCTCTATTGTTATCTACTCCCAATTTTAATATTTAGGATTTTGTCTTTTTGTTATTCAACTTCTGGAATATTTTATAAAATCTTTAACCGTTGCTTTTGATTCTTTTTGGGTATCAGACTTTTTAGTTTCCATTGTCTCTAACATTCGTTTTCAACAAAAACTTTGTGGTGGTTGATAACTTTTTCATTTGATTAGTACTAATAGATATTTAGATCTGTTATATTAGTCGTCATGCTATGTTTGATTGTTCCTACTGTTTTTTACCTTCTATTTCGAGAAGATTTGATATTTTTGGGGGTTTTATCACTTTGCTCGGTTGAAAATTGAAATTTATCTTTAACTTGGAGTCCTAAGATGTTAGAGACAAACGTAAGGGCTTAAAGACTGTCTCTGGGGTTCCACTTTCCAGGTATTTAAATAGTTTAAATTTCTTTATTTTTCACCAATCAAAATTTCATACTTCGTTAATGCTTCAACTCCAATTTTCCTGCTTTTCTTTTTCTATTTGAGTGTTTGAATAATTTAGTTGTAGCGTAATCATTATCACGACTAATTTATTATTCAAAATTCTCCTGATGTCCCCATTTAGCTATCCTTGGAGCATTTTTCATCATGTAAGCATTTAAACTATCATATATCGTATATATTTTGTTAACCTTGCTATATAATCAATCTGGAACATGATTTACTCAGTGGTATATTTTACTCTTTCCATAGTTTATTAATCAGTCATTTACATAATATTCTGTGAAATTGAAGTTAATATTTGTTATTATTATGTGAAATTAAAGCCATAGTTATTTTTCTACCTCCAGGCAACGGAGTTTTGAAGAATTGCGTCGCCCGAAGAGATGTAGAGAATCAAACATCTATTATTTTTCTCTGAATTGTTTTCATTCTCAAGTTCATTCTTTCTATTGTCTCTAGAGTAGTTCTTCTCAACTTGACATTTTAGCTTTCACTTTCAATGATCATATTTAGAGGCTAATACTAGAACAAATGAAGTTGGCAGCAATTGTATTAGAACCCCTTTGCTAAACGGGTTGAGTTTGAGAATAGGTAGAAATCACCAATAGATTTCTAAGGATCAACTATAGTTAGTTAGCTTGTGATTAGTCTTCTACCTGTTACGTTTATTCGTTGAGGTATATCATAGTCTAATAACTTGTGTTTGTGATTTACCAAAATTTTACAACAATGACATTTTCAACGGAATTCAGTTTGCTAATTATTAAAAGAAGCCAACATTCGTCTATTCTTATGGAAAGAAGATAGAAGCTCGTGTCTTTTATACATAAAAGAACTAGGTAAACTTGGCAATGAGAGAGCAAAAATCGTGTTTACCCTTTAAGATGGAAACAAAGATGGAGGCTCAGTGTGTAGCTGACTATATCTTAACAGTAGGATTTCCATAAAATTAAGTTTGGTTCCTTCTCTTCTTTAAAGTCTATTTGTAACCCGATAGGACTATCTTTTAATAATTAGTGCAGTTCATATTGTCACACGATTATCATTTTTTAACTAAATTAATTTGACAAACTCAATAATTGTAGTTCCTTTGCTCTATTATAGTATGTTGCTTTTGTTTATCTCAAATACTGAGTATCTACCTTCCAAGAAAAAGACTTGAATATCAAATTTTTTATTTTGTTGACGTTAGTCTTTTTGAATGAATTTTCATTAGTAGTCTTAAGATGAATTTTCTGTAACTTCAAGGCGTATTAAATTAATTATTTTATTTTATTTTAGTAGTACTTTGAATTTTTTATACATAGATAAATCTTAAAATACTACAGAGGTATAAATTATACGGAAGTATATGTTCTAACTTCTAACTTCAAAGTTATGAACTAACGAATGAATTAAGTTTATAAAACTTTCACTAATCTTTTATAACCGCGCGAAGCACGGCAAATTCACTAGTTTAGCTATAAAATAGAGAGAAAGTGTAAGTTTCTGAAAACCATGAATCTAGCTCACAAAAACTCTCATATGCCTTATTCTGGTTTCTAATGACATTAGAAGATTTTGAAATTCAATAGACAGAGCAAACATGTCTCTCTCATCGCTACCCTCAAAACCTACTCCGCTGCATTCCTTCCCACCATTGGCCGTCGGGGACCACTCTGGAAATCGGCTAGCTCTCCTTATCAACCCCGCCGATCTAGTTGCAACATCAATAAACTATGTCGCAGCAGTTGGAGGACGAACAACCGAAGGAATGAAGAAATTAATTAGGCTTGAACCCAGACCCTAGGAATTTGTGGATGGGAAGGCCAGGGCGATTTTTACCAAAGAGGAAGATGACTTACTAGCAGAGAAATGCAGACTTACGGTGGTAGGAAAGTTCCCTCGAACTCGCCCCCAAATCGATAAATGCAGAGAAATGCTGAAGACAAGTATGACTTACTAGCAGAGAAAGCGGCTTGTGCCTCTGAAAGGATCTTTCAAGATTGGTGTCAAGGATTGGAGATACGTTTTTATTGATTTCACTGATGAAGAAGATTTTAAGGGATTCTATGGAAGACACTCAATGTCAATCTATGGCATGCTAATGTGAGTTAGGAGATGGACGCGTGATTTCAAGGCGGACATGGAATCCACCTTCGCTCCGGTATGGGTGACACTACCAGACCTCCCATGGCATTACCATGATTGGCCTGCATTAGAGAAAATTCTAGATCCAATTGGGACTCTGATTGCCTTTGACAGAGCTATGCTTGCTCGCACTATACCGACAACGGCCAAAGCTCGAATTGAAATTGACTTGACTCGACCTAAGTTCAACGATGTTGAAGTCGCATTGATTGATAATACAGGAGATTCAAACCTTCGTTCAACCAGTTGAGTACGAGCAAGTTCCAGACTTTTGCTTCTTTTGCAAAATGCAAAGACACTCAGACAATGAGTGTAGGATGCAACTGCCTAAGGATACTTTACAAGGTCCGTCTAAGGAAGAAAAGTTGAAGGAAGTTGTGCAGCATGATAACAAAAAGAAAGAAGAATGGGTGGAAGTTACGAACTCTAAAATGAATTCTTCTGGTAAGAATAAGAAAAATCAAGAAAAAGAAGGTGACAATACACATATTCTAAAGGGCCAAGGAACTCGACAAAATGCAGTAACTTCACTAAAACTTTAGCAATGATTTCAGTCCCATAGAGGTCATTGATTCAGAAAATCAAGTGATTAGTGAAGATACACCAATGCAAAGAGATAAGGAAACAGAGGAAGTCTCATTGATGATAATGCAAAACCATGCGAATGGGGCTAATGAATTTGTAGATGTCCCTGCTTCACTGATAATTGGTAGAAATAGTGATGCTTTGACTAGGAAGAAACATAAGAAAGAAAAGAAGAATAAAAACGGGGAATTCATGATAATAAAAAGAAAGAAGAATGGGTGGAAGTTACGAGCTCTAAAAAGAATTCTTCTAGTAAGAATAAGAAAAATCAGGAAAAAGAAAGTGACAATACACATACTCTAAAGGCCCAAGGAACTCGACAGAATGTAGTAACTTCACTAAAACTTAGCAATGATTTCAGTCCCCTGGAGGTCATTGATTCAAAAAATCAAGAGATTAGTGAAGATACACCAATGCAGGGAGATAAGGAAACAGAGGAAGCCTCATTGATAATAATGCAAAACCATGCGATTGGGGCTAATGAATCTGTAGATGTCCCTGCTTCACTGATAATTGGTAGAAATAGCGATGGTTTGACCAGGAAGAAATATAAAAAAGGAAAGAAGAATAAGAACGGGGAATTAAAGACTTCTTAATTAAAAAATCAAAAAAAGGAAGGGAGAAGATTACGCAAGCGCCTGAACAGATGGAAGAACAATTGCAAGCAATAGGGTAATTGGTTAATATTGTTGGGAATAAACCCTCTACCAAAATAATATTCACGGTAATAAAAGCGGAATAATAATGTAGCACCGAGATACAGTAATTAACAAGAATAAAAGAGTAACAATGA